ATCATGTGTTAATGGTACTGTGGTGCTATCAGATCAGTGGTATGTTGGAGATATGTTGGAGGGGAGCCATGAAGTGCTCTGGAGGGATAAAGGGGGGGGGGGGGTGTTATAAGGGTGGCCTGGAGGTACAGGTTGGAACTGATTTAAGGATGGAGAGGAGTAAATGTTGGAACTTGGTATAAGGCTGGATTGTGATACTATTGTTGTTGTTGCCTTTGCTTGTCGTTGTGCCTTATTGTTGTTATTGTTTGTTATTGCTGAGCTTTGTTGTTATCTTACCTTGCGAGTTAGGACGCATGCTAGTATCTTTATGATGATTCGTAATGCTAAACCTGTTGTTGTGTCTGGAGTCTTGATCTTGGTTTTAAAGCTAGAGTTGTTTAGGATTATATATGCATTCCAGTCTCAAAATGGTTTCTTATTTCTACCTATATTGTACTTAACGCGTGGGAGTGGTTACCAGCATTTTTCGATGACGTTTGTTACACCGCATGTTTTTCAGGTGCAGATCAGTAGCTTCATAGTGCGCTAGATGGATACGAGGACCTAGCTTAGTTAGTTTAGTATTTGTTGGTTGGCCTGCATGCTTTGATTTGTACTCGATTATGGATTTATGGATTTATCCTTTGATTAGTTAGTTTAGCTTGTGCATCTAAGTTCTCTAGCTTAGATGTGACATAGCACCCCAACTCTTATGCTTAGTTTATGCTCTTTTTGGGATAATGTTAGATTCGCCTTTATTTCGTAAGTTGTAAATGTTTTAAAAATTATGGGTGTTACAAATATCCTCCTTTTGAATGGGTGTGTCTTCTCTACATGTTTCAAAGTTTTGCAGGATATTCATCATCAATAATCTCAGGTGAGAGTGAGTGGCAGAAGTATGGTTTAAATCATAGCTTTGATTTCTGCAAGGAAAAATACCTTCCAGGAAAACAACATCTTGGGATACAAGAAAATTTTTATCTGTAATGTCATAAAGCTTATATCCTTTCTGTCTACCAGGGTAACCAACAAAAACGCAAGGGCCACTACGAGCTTGAAATTTATCATTATCATGACGATGGGCATATGCAAGACAACCAAATACACGCAACTGTTCATAGTCAGAAATTTTACTAAATATAATTTCAAATGGTGTCTTGTGACTAATGCCCAGGATGGCAACCTGTTGATAATATAAACTGCAGAAAGAATACATTCTCCCCAAAATTTAATGGGTAGATTAGATTGAAATCGCAATGCACGAGCAATTTCAAGTATTTGTCTATGCTTGCGTTTCGCCACTCCATTTTGCTGAGGAGTACCCACACAAGAAGTTTGAATCAACATTCCATACTTTTCATAATAATTAAATAAAACATTAGTATGAAATTCTACACCCTTATCTGTACGAATTTGCTTAACACGTTTACCAAACTGTGTTTCAACCATTTTGCAAAAAGAAATAAGATGGTGTTCAACTTGAGATTTATATTTTAATAAATAAACTCAAACACCTTTACTATTGTCATCCACAATTGTGAGGAAATAATGAGCCTCACACGAGGACGGTGTGCGATAACCACCCTAAATCTCACAATGCAGCAATTCAAAACAAGATGTAGTTTTAATGTGGCTAACAGGAAATGGTAAACGAGTTTGCTTTGCACGCATGCAAGAGTCACAAAAAAAGAAATTCTATCACAATTATTATTGAAATTAAATAATGTTCAGATTTTCTCACTACGGGCATGACCCAAACATTGATGCAAAAGTTTGATGTCTTTAGTCTTGGATTGTACAGTGGCCGCCACGGTTGGTATCATTGTCGGTTCCAAACAATATAGGCCATCACATAGTTTACCCATTCCAATCAACTTCTTCGAGCGTAAGTCCTGCATGACACAGAAATTGGGAAAGAAGATTAGTATAGAATTAAAATCTCTAGTTAATCACACAACAGATAATAAATTGCATTTGAAATCAGGTATATTAAAACTCCATTGATTTTAATTCCATTGGGCAAGGTAGCTTGTCCTATATATTCAATAGGTACTTTGTCGCCATTCGGGATGGTCACTGGGTAACTCACGCAACCTTCTTCAATTTTGGACAAAAGAGTTGGATTATTGACAATGTGATTTGTGGGTCCAGAATCAATAACCCCTGTTTCAGCATGTTCTTGCTTACCCGCCATATTGACGGTGGGGTTCACACAGCTTTCACCTGATTTTCCCACCTCCGAATTCAGAAGTTGCATTAATTTACTAATTTGGTCTTGTGTTAACTCGGCAAAGGTTCCCGTTTCACTACCAACATGCGCAGCTTTCGAACCCATGTTTTGTCCAAGGTGATTGTTTCTTTCTCGCGTTCCTTAGTGCCAATTAGCTAGGTAGCCAATTATCTCAAAACATTGTTTTTCTTTATGCCCAAATTTCCCACAATGGCCACAAGTGGGCCTATCCTCTTGTTTATTCTTATTATCTATGGGTTCCCCACGTGATTTTTCAACACGTCGATTTTACACATGGAAGGCTACCATCTTTGTTCCGTGTTTAGCCGTGGAGGAAATAAGCCATTGTTGTTCATCTTCAGAAACCATGTGATAAGCAACGCCAAGGCTTGGTATGGGCCTTGTACCAAGAATTTGACTCTTCACTGTATTAAACTCTTTGTCAAGACCCATAAGAAAATAATAGAGTTGCTCCTTTCCACGCAATTCTGAATATTTCTTTGTTAAATTGCACTTGGAACCTTGACAGTTATACATGGGCAAATGTGCTGTGCAATTCATCTCATCCCACAAGCTTTTAAGCTTGGTATAATAGGTTGAAACAGTAGCTTTATCCTGGCGGAGAAGTGTTACTGCCCGTCTAATTTTGAAGGCCCTCAGCGCACTTTCTTTGCCGAACCTCTCTTCTAGATCACGCCATATATCTCTAGCAATGGTAGCAAATCTAATGCTACCACGAATATCCTTGTCCATGGCGCTTTTAAGCCAACCTTTAACCATTGCATTGCACTGCATCCATTGTTAAAGATATGGTGAATCTGGCGTTGACATAATAAGAGTTTCATCCACAAAACTCATTTTATGTTTTGCAAACAAGGCATCACACATATCATTCACCCATTCACCATAATTTCCATCTCTGAATAACTCTGCAACGTAAACTTGTCCAGGAGCATCCGAGGCATGTAGGTAATAAGGTGACATGGGATCAATCATCATTCCAACCTCCTTTTGTTGCCGGGTGTCCTCCTTTTCGTTTGTCTCTTCTGCTGATGTTTTTCCTAGATCGGACTTTGGCGATGGAGGTTCTGATACCGTGACGAAAAGGAGACACAAGGATGAGACAGAACAAGGTGATGAAGATGAAAAAGAAAGAGATTTTGTTTTATTGCATATTGTATTATGTTGTAGAAATAAGGAAATGAAGGAATATAAATATACAGGAAAAGCAATTTGCTAGATATGTACATGCAAGATTTAAGGAATACAAAAGGTAATATTACGGAGAAAATATTTTGATTCCCCAAAACTAATGAAGCTCCATCTATTGTGATGAGAGCCGTTGGTGATATGTTGCACATGGAGTCCATCATTTATCCTCACTTCTCATATATAAGCGTGATTTTACAAAACTGAAAATCCAACTTTTCTCTCTCGAAACTCTACTCAATTTTCTCCTAACAATTCATGTGTTCAAAGTTGTGTTCTAGTTCATCGGGTTTATTCGTTTGAGTGCTCAAACATTAAATCGTAGCTTGTTTTATCATGGGAAATCTAGACTACAACGCTCCTAGCACTTTTGGGAAGTAGCAAATAAGGTGTTAAGGATAGTGTGGGCATCACACGTCCCAAGCTAACCTAGCCCTTTCTCCTTTCGTTATTTGTGCTTCTTATTTTTGTGGAAATAATCCTTTTCGTAGGATTATATTCTTAATAGTTAGCTCTCCAGACCTTCACCCAAAATAGTATAACCGAACTTTGATTTATGGGAAAGCTCACAGCCGCTACTTGAATTGAAGGTGCGCTTTGATTGGAGCCCGTCTTAACTTGTGACTCTAGCAGCTAAAAGATCACAATGAGATAAATCAACCTAAGTTATCTATTGATAAATTCAAATTAAGAAAATCAATAAATCGTTCCAACTAGTGAAAACTGATGTGCCATAATACTTATTGATCCAAAAGAGGCAAAAAATGAGTTAAAAAGCAAAGAAAAGAAAACAAAGGTAGTGTGGAATATGGACAGATTCTGGTGAATATTCTTCCACAATCCCAAGAGTTGATCCTGCAAGAGAAAAGAAAGGACATGCATTACAAACACCACTATGATCGAACTAACGAGGAAGTACATTTGTACCATAATTGCCATGCCATTATTTTTGTATTAGTGATAGCGATGTTCATTCATTTTTTTTTATTTTTTTTTTTGTAGATATGCGTTGAATAATTAAAGAGATTAGAATGTTGGTATTGGTTGCAATGAATAATAAAAATAATTTGAATTAGATTATTTCATTTTGTTAATTATAACGTTGAAGACTTAAAGATATAGGGATAACTAGGTCATGATTTGAGTGAATTATTTGACTTTAATCCTTTACAATTTAGATACAAACTCAGATATAGGGGTAACTAGGTCATGATTTGAGTGAATTATTTGACTTTAATCCTTTACAATTTAGATACAAACTCAACCTCATGCAAGAGGTTAACTATGTTCACGTGTTGCGTGTGACCTATCAAAAATAACCAACTTACATACATGAAAAGATGTTATGCAATCTAACTATTAATTTAGACTTTTAATTGAGACGATCACAACCTTCAATTGTTTCATTTGTTCCCAAACTTAGGCTACTATTACTCTCCGTTCAACATCACTAATTTTAGCTTAAAACCTTTGACCATTTCATCTCCTCCTTTGTCTTGCTTCTTCACAAGCCACTAGTGTACATAGAGCCGTTAAAACAGGTCGGCGGGCAAGGCTTTCCAAAGCCCGCTAATAAAACGGGCTTAAGGAAGGTTGGCCCACAAGCCCACCCAACCCTGCCTTAGGCTTGTGGGTTTAGGCGGGAGCCCGTTAAAATCCTAAAATTATAATTTTTGTAAATTTGTAAATTGTAATAAATGTTAAAATCATTTTAAATAGTCTAAATTAAACTCTAAAATTTAAATAAAGATAGTCTAAAGTTTAAATAAACAACTAAACATGCATAGTTGCATAAGCCTACAAATCATTAGTCAATACTAAATGAGTGATAAGTCCATAACAAAAATCATTAGTTCACTCCATTACATCATTCAAAATTCAAACACTCTAACGTCCTACATCTTCTTCCCCTTCTCCATGTCCACAAGACAAATTTGATGTTGTAATTGGTGGGACAAGACGAACTTGCCCGATAGACTAAATTCATTATTCCATTTTAATAGATCTAAGTGTACATAAGTCATCTAGGTTACTCCTCCATAGCCAGGGCAACAAAGGTTCTTTAGCACAAGAGAACTTTTTTTTTTTTTAATTATTATTATTTGGTGTGTAGAAAGAGAATTACGATTGGTAATCTTTCATTTAGATCCACACAAATTATACCAATATTAGTGTTAATTAATTACTAGCTTGGTCCAATACAATTAATTATTATTATTTGGTGTGTAGAAAGAGAATTACGATTGGTAACCTTTCATTTAGATCCACACAAATTATACCAATATTAGTGTTAATTAATTACTAGCTTGGTCCAATACAAATTGAAACTAAGCTAATATAAAGTTAATTAATGAGAGTTTTAAGGATGTAAAAGCAAATTAGAGAGGTAATATTATTGTTATCAGAGAATATATATTATGTGTTTACAATATGATGCCAAAAGATACTCACGTACACATTGAGGTGATAAATTGTGGTTGAGGTAATAGGTAGATAGGACTCTAAGCTTTGCTCATCAAATCACTTTAAAACTAATCTCTTACCCTCCTAGAGTGAGACTAAATATATAGCTTCAATCCGAAAGTTGAATTGATTCTTGAGTGGTAAATTATGAACAAAGACATATTATCAAGCCTTAAAAGTTAATACAGGATTACACGCAATGCGGTGGGTTTCTTATAGACACTTGTCACTAATCCTCTTACTTAATGACCCGTTAAATCACTATGGTTTATTTGTCCACTATCCTATCAGGGTGAGAGAATTTTGTCTTTGTGGAAAAAAGTGAAACGTAGTAGATAACTGGCATCCTAATAATAAAACTACTTCTAACCATCTCCCACAAGTTAAGTTGTCTATTAAGATTAAGACAAAATCTCCATGCCCACGTATTACCTTCATCCATGAGCTTATAATCCTAGACTTTCTTGGTGATGGAACTAATCTAAGCTTAAGTTTCAAAGAACCTTATTCTACGTGTTATACTATCATCAGTTCAAGAATTTAAGTGGGTGGTGTTTTATTACTAGCAATACTGATTCTAACAAGTAAAATCGTCAATTTGCTATAATATACGTTTTTCTTAACCCATTAGACTTGTTACCGCGATAGAGTCATCCTTAACACCAAACATGCGGAAACAAATACAATAAAAGAAGAAATTTGATTATATGTAAATAAAATGCATCATATCCTTGCTAATTGGTAAATTTCTTGATGGCTTCAAAGAATAAAATTTTGATCATGACCCTTGCTAATTGACTTCTTTCATAATCATAAGCATATTTGTGTATGAAAATGAAAATTACATTTTCTATTCCATATTACTCATCATGGATGTCGGTGAAGATTTACAATGGGAACGGATGAGAGTAGATTAAGAAAAAGAGAGTTTTTCTTTATAAACTTTTTAAATATTTTTAGAGTAGAGTAGTCTGAGAGTCTTTTTTCTCCCAAGTGTCTAAGAGTAGTTTTCTACCATATTTATGTACAATTGTTATAATTTGTTCGTATTAATAATTAATGAAAATCAAAATCGTTGTCGAGACAACACATCAACGATAATCCTATAAATAATAAAGTCATATGGTCTTATGAAAATTAAATGGTGATAATCAACATTTAATTTTCACAAGACCATAATAATATTGTTATTGTGAAAATTAAATGTTGATAATCAACATTTAATTTTCACAAAACCATAATAATATTGTCCTATATATAATAAAGTCATATGGTCTTGTGAAAATTAAACAGTGATCATCAACATTTAATTTTCACAAAACCATAATAATATTGTTAATTATAATAACAATAACAATAACAATAATAATAATAATAATAATAATAATTGCAATAATAATAATGATAATAATTTCTACTGATAGTTTCTAATATATATATATATATATATATATATATATATATATATATATATATATATATATATATATATATATATATTTATTTATTTATTTATTTATTTATTTATTATATTTATTTATATTTCAATTTCTACTGGCAAATTATTGTGTGAACGATGGTCCACATAATTGTAGGGATCATGAATATCAAATACATTTTTAATATATTAAAAATACATTATTTTTATATTGAAAGTACCTTACATACATATATAATGTACCCTTAGTAATTTAAAATATACTTTTTATTTCATGCAACCTCAAAGTTCATAAGTTTGAAATTAATATATGGCATAGCTAGGCGGCCTAATATTTAAGATTGTTGATGTGCATATTGAGGACTACGGAGACAAAGATGCGTTATTCGTGGATTCATCGGATACTATCCAACAACACTCTCCAACTTAATTGACATGAAGTAGGCTTAGTAACATTAAGATTATATTCTCGAATTATTAGCTCTCATTTTTTATTGATTACACACTTAATTCGATAGTATTTGGAAGAAAAAATCAATGTTCGAACTAAGATTGTGATTTTGGTCTTTAAAGGTCAATTGTACGTTGCTACATCTAGAGTTAGAAATCTCAAAGGTCTAAAAAATTTTATCCGTGGTGACTCTAAAATTGTAATTCAGTTACTATTGTAGTTTACTAAGTTCTTAAAAATTTGTAATATTAAATACTATGTACTAAATTTTTAATATAGTTTAAAATTTGTAGTAATCACCCACCTTAAATATTATTTTAATTGTAAATATATTTATGTTCATAATTTTATCATAGGAATTCACACATAATAATTATTAAATAACAAAAATTTTATATATGAATAAACCTCATATAAGGTATATTTTTATAACATATTTTTCATGCATCGCACGGGACAAATACTAGTTAATTATAATAACAATAACAATAATAATAATAATAATAATAATAATAATAATAATAATAATAATAATAATAATAATAATAATAATTGCAATAATAATTATAATGATAATAATTTACACGGACAGTTTCTATCTTTTATATATATATATATATATATATATATATATATATATATATATATATATATATATATATATATATATATATATATATATATTTATTTATTTATTTATTTATTTATATTTCAATTTCTACTGGCAAATTATTGTGAGGAACGATGGTCCACATAATTGTATGGATCATGAATATTAAATACATTTTTAATATATTAAAAATATATTATTTTTATATTGAAAGTACCTTACATACATATATAATGTACCCTTAGTATATTTAAAATATACTTTTTATTGCATGTAACCCCAAAGTTTATAAGTTTGAAATTAATATATGTCATAGCTAGGCGGCCTAATATTTAAGATTGTTGATGTGCATATTGAGAACTACGGAGACAAAGATGCGTTATTCGTGGATTCATCGGATACTATCCAACAACACTCTCCAACTTAATTGACGTGAAGTGGCTTAGTAACATTAAGATTATATTCTCGAATTATTAGTTCTCATCTTTTATTGATTACACGCTTAATTCGATAGTATTTGGAAGAAAAAATCAATGTTCGAACTAAGATTGTGATTTTGGTCTTTAAAGGTCAATTGTATGTTGCTACATCTAGAGTTAGAAATCTCAAAGGTCTTAAAAATTTGTAATATTAAATACTATGTACTAAGGTCTTAAAAATTTGTAATATTAAATACTATGTACTAAGTTCAGTTGTAATTCAATTACTATTGTAGTTTACTAAGTTCTTAAAAATTTGTAATATTAAATACTATGTACTAAATTTTTAATATAGTTTAAGATTTGTAGTAATCACCCACCTTAAATATTATTTTAATTGTAAATATATTTATGTTCATAATTTTATCATAGGAATTCACACATAATAATTATTAAATAACAAAAATTTTATATATGAATAAACCTCATATAGGGTATATTTTTATAACATATTTTCCGTGCATCGCACGGGACAAATACTAGTGGATAAATAAAGTGCAGTGTCTTAAAAGACAAGCCACCAACGACAACGGATAAATAAAACCGTTATTTTATAAAAAATAAATAAATAAAAAGAACGCACAAAGAGAATGGACATTTAAAACTGTCGTTGTAGAAGCGTTGTGTACTCAAAGTACGCTTAAAGAGAACATACCAACGACAACAGATAAATAAAACCGTTTTCATTTTTTTAAAAAACTCATAAAGATAACGAACTTTTAAAACTGTTGTTGCAGAAGTGTTGTGTATTCAAAGTGCGCTTAAAGACAACACATCAACAACAACGGATAAATAAAACTATTGTCTTCAAAGAATATTGTACAAAGATAATGAATTTTAAAAAATGTTGTCTTTGAAGCGTTGTCTTTTTACAAAATAGTCAAATGTTCTTAGTAGATAACAAACTAAAGACAATAATTGGCTAAAAGCAGCTGTCTTTGAAAAAAGCGTTTGGTTAAAGACAAAGAACGATTTTTTACAAAAATATTGTCTTTTATATAAAAGATAAAAGGCTATGTACATTATATTTTTCTTGTAGTGAAACCCTAGCAACCAAAGTGCGCGAAAGTTACACTTAATGCAGTGGGCTTCTTGTGGACACCAGACACTAATCATCTTACCCATGAGTCGCTGAATTACTGTAATTTATCTCTCCACTATCCTTTCTGTTGACTTTTAATGAATTGTCAAATATCATGTGCAAAACCCATTCCCTAATCTCAGAAGATTTCAAGATACTTATTCCTATTAGAATTAGGACTAATAAACCTATTCACAATCAAAGAAAGGATCTAATCCTATAAAAGAAGCCTCTCTCAATCACATGTACTCATGCTTTCAATATCTAATTGTGAGTCACGAGAGTCGTTGAGAAGAGATACCCAAATCCCCTTGAAAAGTAGTACAAGTGTTTAGGTCACAATAGTCTGATAGGAAAAGATCATCATATTGTGTAATCCCCGTTCCCTAAACAGTGTACTTTGAATATTAAGCTTTTAGTGGATTTAGGCAAATTCTTAACTTGAGAAGTGCCTCGCAGATTAGGGTTGTTTGCCCGAACTGTGTTATAAATTGATTGTGTCACAACGTCAGTTTTAACATTATTGTGTGCATCGCTTATATAAATTTCAATTGGTATCAGAGCGGGTCTGCTCAAGTTACTAGCAGGATCCAGATGGAATTCCCAAGAGAAGGACTTTCAAACAATAGACCACCAGCTCTACTCGGCACAAATTTTTCCTACTAGAAAGCCTGAATGCAGATATACATATTAGCACAAGGAGAAGGTGTCTGGAATGCAATAGAAAACGAATGGAAAACAACAGTTGATGACAAAGGAAATAGAAAACCTAAAATGAACTGGAGTGAAGAAGAGAGAACAGAATATGACTTCAACTTGAAGGCAATGAATGCAATATATGGAGCTGTGAGCGAAGATACTTTCAAACTGATTGCTACCACTCGCATAGCCAAAACTGCATGGGATATATTATGTGATCATCATGAAGGGAACACATCTGTAAGAAAATCTAAGTTACAGATGATACAGACAGAATTTGAAAACCTGAAAATGGAAGAAGAAGAAAGTATCACACAATTCAGTTCCAGAGTATTAAGCATCTCTGGAGATGCATTCAACCTAGGCGAACCTATACCTGAACATAGGATCGTCAAAAAGGTACTACGCTCGCTTCCTGGAAGATTTCTAATAAAAGTCACAACAATTCAAGAAAACAAAGATCTGAATACTTACAAACTTAGTGATCTAATGGGAAACCTTCAAACCTATGAGCTTGAGATGCTACAAAATCAGAAAAATAATGGCAAAGGAATAGCACTACAATCCAAAAAAGAAAAAAACTCAGATGCTGATACTGAAACAATGGAACAGTCAATCGCATTATTGACAAAGAACTTCAATCGAGTTCTCAAAAAATTCAACAAGTTCAGAAATAAAAACTCC